GACAGACCCCGGGGCTCTCTGAGGGGCAGGTACCTTCACCGTCATCTCAGCCACGAAGATTGCCGTGAAGATATAGTTGGAGACGCTGAGGAAGACGCGCTCCTGCGGGAACAGGGCGGTGAGAGGGGCCGGCCGCACCCAGGAGACCCCCCCCACCCCCCCACCCCCAGGAGAAGGGGCCTCACGGTGCTTCCTGGGTCAATGTCCGGCCTCTCCAGGGCGATGGTGATACAGTTGAGGAAGATGAAAACCAAGACGACATGATCAAACATCTTGTGAGCAATGATTTTCTGGCAGGAGGCACGGAACCTGGGGGGCAGGAGGGGGGGGGCGAGGGCGCTGGGTGAGGGGCCCGAGGAGAGCCCTGCGACCCTGAGGCCCAGGGAGCTCACTAACCTCTGGGAAACTGGGGGTCCCCAAAGGGCGATGCCTCTCCCACCCAGGGCCCCCTTTACCTGTTCTGCGGGGAGAACAGATACAGCGACCAGGGCTCACGGCTCCGACACCACTCGGGCTTGTAGGGCTCCAGCACCTTGCGCAGGCGTGAGCAGCAGCTCTGGGAGAGGGTGCAGGTCCTCAGGCGGGTCCCAGCCTCTCCCAGCCGGCCCTCCACCCTGGGGTCCCAGCTCACTCTCCCACACGGGCAGGCACAGGGTGAGTGACCCATGCTGGGAGCCCACGGGGCCGGGTAAGTAGACGTGCTCAGAACACCCCCATCCCAGCTGCCCCTGCCTGTGGGCAATGGAGTGAACGCCTCACTGAGAAGTTGGCCCTGTCCTCTCCCTCATGAAGGCCCAGCAGCAGCTGCTAACTCAGGGCTCAAAATGGCCCTCAGCTGGAGGTGTGGCTGCCCCTGACCTGGGGTCAGTCCTGCTGCAGAGCTCTCGAGGATCAGCTGAGGCCCGTTAGCTGGGTCGGGTCCGGCTCAGCTTGCCCATGTTCTCCCCTTTCTTCTGAGGCACCCCCTCACCCCCGCCACGAATGATGTTCAGGCTCTGCTCCCGGAACCAGCCCCCGACAGGAGGGAGGCAAGGGGCCCCGACGCCCACTCACATCCTCCATGTCGTCGTCAAACTCGGCTGGGTCCTCCTTGTGGCTGTCTATGCGCAGGAAGAACTCGCTGGGCAGGGCCAGCATCTGCCCGTTGCAGTCATGGAGCTTGGTGGGCAGCAGGGTGGCCGGCCGCAGGGGCTGCATGTCCA